CTCATGCATGGAACCTTGGGACTCTGGAAGTGGGGATGTACTCGAAGGAGGTGGTGATGAAGTGGGCTCAACAACATGTTCAGCTTGGAAAGCCTCCGTCAAGCGCACGTGCCGACCTTTTGCTTTGGCGGCAGCGACAGCAGGGCCTTTTCGGCCTAAACCAGCTCCAGGCTGTGGGCATTCTTTGTCTCCAGCCCAGTGTCCATGCTGGTTGCAATCAAAGCATGGATGCTTTCCAGATGCCTTTCGGGCAGCAGGCACCCCAGTGTTGTTGCGGCCACCACCGGCCGATCCAGGCTTTCCAAAGCCGCGATCTTTCCGCACTTCCTGAAGGCGTGACTTCGCCTCCTTCATGGTCACAAGGGCCTCGGCGGCCTGCTCAAAACTCTGCTCCATGTCCTCCAAAACCGAAGGGTCTATGCCTTGCTCCTCAGCCTCTTGCAACTCGGTCGCAAGGCATTCTGCTTCCGATTGAATCACCTCTTCGAGGGACTGTTCGCCCATCTCGGGCGGATGTTCTTCCATCACGGTCTCCAGGACCTCCTCAGCCGGTGCCTCCTCACCGTCCGCAACCTCAGTCACGTAGGCCCGGCGATTGCTCGAGGCTGAAGACGATCGGTTAGAAGTCGCCGCCGAAAACATCGAAGGCGATCTGCTGATGGTGGATGCCGAAGATGAAGGGGTTTTCGACTGTTGGGACTGAAACAACCTGCGAATGGTCAGCCTTGGACGATCACCTGTACGATCGAAGCGACGAAGAGGGTCATTTTGGTGAAGATCCTTGAACAGCCTAAGGCATTCAGCCTCCACAACACCATACTCCTCTCGACCGGCTAATGCAGTCTCGAGCAACTGTTGTCGCAAGCTGTCCAGGCCAAGCTTCTGACGAAGAAACCAACCCAACTCCGTGGCCTGGATCTGAACTCCTTCAGCAGCAAGGTCGGCCGAGAGAGTCCTGAACCTAGTACAGAACTCGGCAACTCGCTCACCTGGAGTCCGCTTCAACTCCAAATAAAACTGGTTCCTCAACTCGCCCCGCTTGTCCAACAAGGATTGTCCATTGATCCCTTCAAGGGCGTCCAACAAACGGTTCAAACCATACAAATAATCTGGTGGGGTGACCTCAATGGTTTCTCCAGAAACAGGATCTTCGTAAATCTCTGCTGGTTTGTGCTTGAGGTCATCGGGATTGAACTCTTCCCCACGCTGACGTACAATGCCAGTCTGTCGAAGCAACCAGCGTGCCGCCAGATTATATTTTGAAGTGGCTTGCAAATCCAAACTGCTTACCCACCAGTTCATCTCCCGTCTAAAGGATCTCCACGTGAGGGGGGGAGCCATCCCAAACGGGTACCTGGTACCATGCGCCCTTCTCATCGCCACCGCCTGAACCAGACATGCCTCTTGGAGGTACTCGAAGTCAAAAGGTTCAGCTCAAAGTCAAAGTCGGTGGCCAAGAAACAAGCAAAAAGGTGCCGGAGTTCGGCACAGGGTGAAAAACGTTGGCAGGGTTCCAAAACTCACAACGCGTGTCGGAAGCTCCGAAAACAGGCCAAGTCGCAGGAAAACACGGGCTCTGCAGCAAATCCAAAGGCACTAGAAAGCAAAGAGGCTCCGCGTAACCACTGTGGAAGGCCAGGCTATGATAGCGAAGAAACAACGTGCAACACAATCAATCGCCAGTTTTCCGTCAAGGGCGTAGCATGGCTTAAGGCCTAGGTCGAGGCCAAACAGGTTGGGCCGGTACGGCCACGGTGGAGACAAATCATGCCTCATCCATGAGCACCTGTCTTTCACAATAGAGAAGAACTACCCCCTCTTTGGACTGCGGGTCGGCAAATGGTTTGGTCCTCGACCAGGTGATCTGAAATGGTTTCTTTCCTTGACCAGGGATCATGTACATGCACGATGGTCTCCATCATTCAGCTGTGGATGGACACCTTTATGATGGTGACCCGAACATATATATATATATTATATATATCACCTGCGATGTGCCGTAGCTGTTGGTACCAAATAGATCCAACAGTCAGAACTCATGATGACACGCAGTTCAAAGTGCGCCTCTGGATCACCCGCAGCGGCAACATGGGCCTGCAAGGAGCTCAAAGTGAACAGCTAGTTGGACAGCTACTTCACTCCTTGCTTGCAAACGGCGAAGAAACAAACAGACCCCCCGCGTCATCTGGACTATCCCGAGCACTTAGGGGCGCGAGATGCAGGTAGGGGCGCTTTCTTGCGAAGTTTGACCAGTGTTGTCCCAGATTCCCCTGCCGCCCTGCCGCCCGAGGGCCGCCTGCCAGCGAAGTATTCTCGCCGAATCCAGTCTCGAAGTTGCAAGTGCTGCCGGGGCCGAGGAGACATCGCTGTGGTTCAAAAGCCAGGTCAACCTCTGGTGAATCCAGCACTCTTCAGCATCCATCTTTGCACAAACATCGTGACCATGCTGTGGATCTGTTCGGCAACACACTTGCACTCCTATAGGTTTATCAAACGCATCCAACAAGCTCTCATCTATGTCTATGATTGGCCCAGCACCTGTTCAGCTGAAAACCCCGTCATCCACCTGCACCCCGTCATCCACGAGCTCATCCAAGGTGGTCTTGAGACTCCAAGATTGCGCCCTGCGTCTCCGTGTAAAACAGCGGCGAAGCTCTGTTCATCCAACATGAACAGGACTTTCTTCCTCTACATGGCTCTAGAGGTATGATTTATTTTTCTTGCTATGTCGGATGGAAGGATGGAGGATCGTTCAGTTGTGTCTGCGTTCATGATTCATGAATGATCCATGACATTAAGCGGCTGAGGTCAAATGCTGTGCTTGAGGAGTGAAATCCTCTGTTTGTTAGTGACTTTTACACTCGTTTCTATTCAGGGATGGCTCGTGGAAGTGGGGAGTGTGAAGGTGCAAAGATGTTGCCACTATACAACTCTACACAGAGCCTCGCTCACAGATTGGCTCCTTGACCTAATCCTCTCGAAGCTGGAGTCTGGCTCGGATGCCAATCACCACAAGCACCACTTGAAGAGACCAGTCTCAGAGTCGAGTTATTTTCGCGCAGGAATCAGTTCGAGGTCACTGGTTTATCACCTGTTCTTGCCGGTGTGCTCACCAGGCAGTCATCTGTGGGAAGATCTGTCTCACTCTCACGAGTTAGCTGAAAGATCCTCCCCACGGAGCGAGAACCTTTTTGTTTGTGTGTAGATGGTTGTGGCAAGTCTATATATATATATATTATATATCTATGTATATATGGCTGGTGTAGGAATAACACCTCACACCTCACCGTTTTCCCCTTTCTTCACACAAAAGTTGTGTGAGAAAAGAAGCGAAGCCAAAAGAGTGGCTTTTGGCACACAGAGTGGCTCTTGCGAAGCCTGATGTCAAGCCCAGCCCACAACCCTCGAACGCAAGCCCGGATGTGTGTCAAGGCACCCAGGCTTAAGCACCCAAACACCCAGGGACCTTGTACCTTCAATGTCACACATGAAACATCATCCAATAACCATCTTTTAATTCTGATGTGAAAAGAAGAAAAGCAAGGCAAGCGCCAAAGCACTGAGACCGAGACCCATAGGACAAACACATCCGCGGCACCCCGGAAACCGCTCCTAATCTTGGCATCTTCCGTTTCCAGCCACTGCGCCACAGCGGTGTCCTCGCAAGGCTCAGCTCCCGCGTCGTCCGAACACGGGGCCGAGCCGTCCCGAAGGGTCGTCGAAGTCGACGAAGTCGACTCGCAGGGAGACTTTCGAGCGGATGTGGTCCGACATGGGGAGTCTTTGTTTGTCTGTTGGTTTCGAGCAGGGACACCCCCCGCCCCCAAAAATGTGGTTCTGGTCCCCGCCCAAACCCGCCTTCCCACCTACAGAACTGGCTGACCCACAGAGCAGACGACCTCAACCCGTGGCACAGCATGTCAAGACGACCCTTTTGGCTCTTCGATTCTTCCGCGCCGTCCGGCATCGCTATCTCGGCCTGGCGGCGCGGTGAGACAGATGGAGCTGGGCAGACGAGGGAACAGAGAAAAGCAACGAATCTGACCTGGAGAGTGTAGATGTTTGTATTGTCTATAGTCTATAGGCCTAGACGTGTAATGACGTGTAGATATTTGCATACTTCTAGGCGGTCATCTTAAGGTTCTATGCTTTGGGAAGTCTCACAACTTTGGCTTGGCAAAGCTGATGGTAGCTGATTTGCCCAGGGTTTACCCCTCACAACAGCACCCTGGGGCTGCACTCTGAGATCATTCTTCGTGGCCACAGAAGCTGCACAAGAAGTTTGACATCCAATCTTGGTGAGTATGGTGTGGTAGCGCCGCCTTCGCAGGAAATCGGCTGATTGAAACCAGCTCTGATTTCGGTGGAAACCGCTACACCGAGCCCAAGCTCGATCTACCACCATCAGGGCCCAGATTCCTCACGACGTTGTGGATTGCACTGTTTTACTCTTGGATCACCTACCATTGCAAGACCCATTGCGCTGGGTCTAAGGCCCACCAGCTTTGGAGACTCAGACTGTCTGTCCGACCAGTGAGAGTCCGACCGAACTTGGTTGTACACGACCTATAGGGGGTATTCCCTCTATTATACAGCCAACCAAATGTTGAGCCAGGCCATCTATGGACAACCAGCGTTGTTGTCATGTTGTGTCAAGGTCTTCTGGGACGAAGCATGTGGTGCTCCACGAGTCAATGGACGAAGCCATGGGCACCACCAATTTTAGCAGGACGAAGCCAGCAAGCCGCAAAAAGGCTTAGCCAGACCAGGTCTGTGCAATGGTTTCTGAAGTACACTCTGACTCAATCGCATCGAAGTGAACGACGGTCAACAGTAGTTGTCGATGTCCATGAAATGGGATGCATGTTTTGCATGTGTTGTCCATGGCAATTGCCCCCTGTCGGAGTGCTCACGACGGGTTGGTCGTCCAGCCCGTCCAGCTTCGACCAAACCTCCCTCGCTCGGAGAGCGGCGAGGCCTGGGTCCTTTCAGGCTGGGCTTCACTTCTTCTTGAGGGCCTCAGAAAACACGAGTCGAGTCGGTGAGATGTTGAAACACCTGCTGGATCCTTGGAAACACCAAAAAATCGCAGATGAAGGCTTGAAAACACCTCCAGAAAAAGCCGAAGATCTTCAAGCTATCAAGCAGATCAGCCCCATGGCCCAAATTTTGGATACTAAATCAAGACCGAGCTCCCAAAAAGTATGGCTGAGGTAGATCCTCAGAATCCGATTGCCAGTTGACTTCGGAAACAATCCAAGCCTGCAGATTGAGTGACTTGCCGAAGCTCACGTTTTTGTGACCCACTGGCAAGTGAAGGGACTAGAATATCTGCATCTTCCACACACGTGTCACATCCATTTTCCACATCCTCTCGTTCCATCCCCCAAAAAACCTCCCGTTCCCAGCACCCAGCTCCCGTTCCCCCATCGCTTCGCACGCGCGGAGCGTGCGCGGAGCGGATCTGCCTTCTTCACCTCCTTGGATCGCTTCTGCTTCGCCGCCATGACCTGCGAGGAGAGCTGGGAATCAGAGCTGGGGAAGGCATGGAAGGTCTCAACAGGTCGCTTCCCAAGCCACGTGAGGATCGGATAGAGCACATGACATGGAAAAAGAAGACAATCGTGACATATAGTGACTACAGGGGCCCCATCCTCTTTGGATGCCATGCCAAGACACCGATGCCTTGAGACGGGAGACCGGTCTCCAGATCGATGCAAGTAGATGCAAACAAAAATGCTTCTGCGCCTTGAAGCGCTCGAAGTCCGTCATGTTCTTTCGGGTCTCCTGAGGGGACCGGGATTGCATGGGATGTCGCCGGACGTCACCCCAGGTTCACGGAGTCACTCCAGGAAGAGGTCAAGTACCATCTGAAACCCTTGAGCTGAAAGGATCAAATGAGACACATTCTGCCGAACATGGCCTTCCCAAGTGTAAGTGGTGCATCAAAGAAAGGTCAATTGGCTCCGAGACGTCGTTGGAGACGGAGCAATGCTTCAATGCTTTGGAATTGAAACCTCTGACATCCACTCTGGTCACTCGACCATCGACATGATCCTCGTTTGATCTTGTTTGTCGATTGATTTGGCTCTTTGGCTCTATGGAGCCAGGGCCGCACGTGGAAACACTTGGAAAGACCTTCCACTCACCCTCCATCAACTGTACTCAATGATCGCAACTTCCTGGGGAGCATCTGAGTAGCTAATTCTATGATTAGAGCATCCCAAGTCATTCGGCCCAAATCGCGTCTCAAAAGCCTTTAATCAGGAGATCAAGCAACTTCAAAGCCGTTACTGTAGCGCTTTCAACCTGTATTTGTGAGGGTGGTATCTCCAATCCCCGTTGCCCCAAAGAAATGAGGTCCCCTCCAACTTCTTGTATCGTACGTACAACAAGACTCACATGCAGCAACTGAGGCTGATCGGCGTACATCCCTCACTTTTTTACCAATTCATTTCATCAATTTCGCCCCTCCATCCACGCCAACTTCACCAAACCGGACTTCCATGTCCGCTGCCAGCACCCACCCAGGTCCAAAATCGCCTGAGTCTTAAGCTTCTTGGCCCAACTGGTGGCCTCCCACCTCAGCCAATTTGAGATCCGTTTCGAGATCCGAAGACCTTGGATGAAGACGACGACGACGACGACGAAGACGACGGATGGGGGTAGAAAGATCGCCAGAGAGAGGGACCAGAGAAGGCGAGAGATCAAGATCCGGACGCCCCGAAGAGCAGAACACAGAGAAAACAAGACATATGCGACACTATATGCGACATATGTTTTATTCAATCAAGGAGAACCTTTGGGAAAAATACCTCATCTTAACAAAGGATGAAAGAAAACTTAGGACATCTTGGGACCCCACACACACCTCAAAAAAAGAACCGACTTGACTCGAAACCGATGCGATTTCGCTCTCCACCCGTTTTCAAGCTCAGACACTTCTTCATGATCTCGCCCTCCGTCAGAGCCTAGTGGTGAGTTTCTCAGGCGAAACTTGACCCCACTGAAGTGCAAACCGGTTGCCACTGGCTCTTAATGCTCTTGCTCTCTTGAAGAGATTTATGTACTGGACCCTTTTTTTGTCCAAATATAGAATATGGCTGAGGGGCAATTACTATCTACTCCGAATATACATGGCAAAACATGCAGGGGCAAGACTTGGTAGACACCCATCTCTCGATCGAACTGAGCAACAACATGCTGCGTCACTCACATCACGCAAAGACCAAATGCATGACAGGTAGATCGGGAGATCAAAAACCATCTAAGACTTCGCAGCTAAAAGACAAGCAGAACGCTCTTGCTCCCTGGCTGCGACACACCTAAACGACTTATAATCCTTTGTGACTTGCAGCATGAAGCCGGGAACTCTCTCATCTTGACTGCCTAGTCAGCCTAGTCTAGTCAGCAGCTTCAGCAGATCTTTCAATGGATGTCCTATCACGCAATCAGACCGTCCAGTTCGACTAAAAACTGGTTCTGGTTTCTACATACATGGTTCAGCTGCCCTAATGTTCTTCAGAAAGGCATTGGTGCTGCAAGTACAGGAGGAGATGACAAGAATCGCCCCAGCCTTCTTCAGTGTCTTCTCGCGGCAGCCACGCTTCACCTTCATGCCTCTATAGGCTAAGCTCAGCTCCCCTCTTTATCGAAATTAGAACATGGAACAATTCAAGAAGATCACAGCGACAATAGGAACTAGCAAGGCAAGGTTTTTGCCCGTCAAAACCAAGGCTGCTCCTGCCACCGCTTGTGGTGAACTACCGTGGTGCTCCCATGCGCCTAAGGATCTCCTAGCAAAGTCACAACAAAGAGTTGGGATTTGTTGAGTTTCTGTGGAATAAATATGGGACGGGATGTGCATGAGGAGGCCCCGGTGTTGAAGTTCAAAAAGTTGGACGATACCTAGATTCCTACAGAAACGAGGTCGAAACCTGATATCAACAATCTCAATAAGACCAACAAAGTCCCAGTGCAGTCCCAAGGCCTCTTCCATCAACTAGAGAATTCCAAGGGCATCATGCACCCGGCACCATCCACCCCATCCAGCCTTTTGGTGCCTGCAACCAACCACCTCCACCTCCAAATCCCCACAGACGCCCAACATGCGGCGCCGCCGCTCTCACCCACCCGCCACTGCGCGTCCGGGCGGAAGTCGGTGAGGCTCAAGCGCTTGATGGGCATCATGTGGCGGCGCACCTGGCGGGACTCGCCACAGTCACGTGGACTCTTCTCGCCCCGAGCGAAGGAAGAGTCGGCCATCTGGGGGAAGAATGGCCCCGGCGTCGTGTGTCTGTGTCTCTGAATCTGCTTGAAAGTCTGACCAGACTTCACAGGACGTTGCGTAATGAAGCATATGGTGTGGGGCTTAGGGGAAGGTCTGGTTGTGCCGAGATGTTCATCCAAGAGAAAGAATTGAAAGGCTGGCATAGGAGGACTCCCAGAATCTTTGATCTTGGTCTTCAGCTTCTGTGCGATGCTTGCATGTGCTTCTGGCCCATCAAAACATATCACAACTTGAGGCCAGTGGGGTTGAACAAAAGCTAGCGGATTGCTTCTACTGTATGAGGATTTACAGATCGCTGGCTCTGCAGCAATGTTCTGCACCAGGTGCCACCCCTCCGCGGGCCCCCCAAAAAAGGGCCTTCAACCTCAATGGCACCTGTTCGGCACCTCAAGACCCCAATGGCACCACTCTGGCCGCGGTGGAGGCTGCAGACTCTCTGCAAACGTCGGCCGTGGATCGCTCCCTCTGTGCCCGACCCGCACAGGTCGTCGGAGTCCGCCGGAGTTTGGGAGCGACCATTGGGGTCCGGGCCCCGAGTCTGGGACAGAGCCTCGCTGTGGAGTCTGGGACAGAGCCCACAGCAAGGCTCTTCAAACTCCAGCAACTTGCATCCACTGAATCAACCAAACGAACAACGTGACGCCCCCCAAACGAGCCAGTGGCCGCCCCAGTCACACTCTCAGGACCATCGACCACCACTCCTGGGCCGTTGCTTGTTCAGTCTTCTGAGTCTTCTACCTACATCTTCTGGACCTTTGAACGTTTGAGGCTCTGCCCATGGAGATTGACCTCACCTGCAGCTCTTTCACCAGCGCCACCTCCGTCACATAGCCTCACCTTCCACCCCATTGGTTCTGCTTTCCATCATTGATTTAAGATGTGTCTTGTCCACAAGATCCGGCTTTGAACATGACCGGAAGTTGTGCCAGTTGCTATACCAAGGAACGCTTCTGATCAACGATATCCACGATGGTGCACCTCATGCAGGCATTTCTTCAATCCTATCCAGGAGTGGCTGGCTGGTATGTCTATCTGGAGGGTCCTCTTCCACCCAACGCTGCTGCCCAAAGCTTTTACATCCCAAACAGCTGGAGTTTTGCAGGAACTGCTCCATTGAAATCTCTTATATAGATACACAATGATACACAAATGTCTCTTTTCATCTTCTGAAGCGAGTGGGATCCTAAGGACTCCTCAGGATTCAAGAGGCCGGCCCCTTCAAGCGACAAAAACCTACCTACCACGCACCATGTGATGTATCTCACAATCAGGTGAAATGCCGTGTAGTCGCCCCAATAGACCACAGGACGGTCTAAAGCAAGACATGAAGCACAACGGGTCGGTGCCACTTTGGGGCCGAGGACCGCAGAAGAATGTCTTCTCCCCTTGGTGATGTCCATATGATCGTATGGGTGTGTATTTTAATAGTGTGTATTTTAATAGGGAGCCCCCAACCACAGTTTTTGGTCTATTTCCTTTCTAGGGTCTTTGTCAGGTCCCGCTATTTTAATACACACCCATATGTCCAGATGAGTCAACACTCCAAAAAGGGGTCGCTTGCCATAGGCCACCAGACCACCAGACCATGCCAAAAGAAGAGCCCTCAAACAACGCCCCAAACACTGCCCAACAACCAAGCCTCCTGTCCTCCTCTGCCTCTACCCCATCTTCCACTGTTTCACAGTCTTCCACTGTTTCCGGAATTGGTTTAAGGGAACATCTATGCTTTCTACAGGAAACATCTACAGGAAGACGATAAAAACCCATGGGGTTGCCAGTAGATTCTTCCTTAAACATCCAACCAAGTGATGTCTCAGTCTGTTTCACCCCGTCCGTGTCCGACTCCGCGGGCTGCTCCGGGGCACATCTTTCCCGCGCAGGGGCCGAAGGTGATGAGGGCCAAACGGCCCGGTTCGACGAAGCGCTTGAACATGGAGACACCGGCCATGGCGACCTGTCAGCCCAGACGGCCCAGGAGTCTCAGCGAGGTCGGCCCAAGGGCGTGGACGAAAAACATCTGGGTTTGGACGAAAGAAGACCCTCCAAGGACACCCTGGAAGAGGAAAATCGACCAAAACGCCTTTGGTTGCAGGGTCCACCACTGAAATACAAACTCATCTGGCCCAATGCTTCTTTGCCTAAGCCTAACTAAGCTCAGGCGTGGAAGAAAATCAGGGATTGTAGCATATAGTCTCAAAACTAGCTGCTAGCTCTCACTCCTTGGTGCAGTCCTTCGAACATCCTTCTTATCAGCACAGTTCTCTGATGCTGCCTTGGTGCCTTGGTTCATCCAGTGGAACATGTCCTCTCTCCCTCTCCCTCTCTCTTCAACCCTTCCTGGCCTGAGAATTGCTTTTCTCGGACACCAGTGCAAGCTCCGTGTCGGCTGAGACGGCTACGGAAGAGCATGGCTCCAAATTTGGCATCAAACAGCCAGCTTGCAGAAAATGAAGACTCTGCCTTTCCAGGCCTTTCCATAGAACAGCTTAGAACACCATTGGTCACCATTCCTGTTCCTCTGTCAAGTCTCAAACTCAAACCTTCCTGCTAACGACAAGTAAAAAGAGCCTGCCAAGTCTAATTTCAACGGTTCAACAGCTTACAGTATTTTAATCCCCCTGCAGCCCAAAGCAGAAGTTAAGACTCCCCATCAGTCGGCATGAGCTTGCAATAGCAATAGCTCAAGCAGTAAGGCCACCAGCGCTGCTTGAAAAAGGAACGCCCATCCCCCCCAAGAACTGTCACAGGACCTACCAGTAAAACCGCAGGACTAGTCCTTGAGCGACTGCAGAAACACGTTGCTGTGGCCTCCTGAGCGCTATCGATGACCCTTTTTGTAAACCCGGAGCCCGGTTTCTAGTAGCTTCTTGTTACTAGCGATGGCCTCCAACCTAGTAGCTTCTTGCTACTGTACTAATGCCAGGAGCTACCAGTAGCTTCTTGTTAGTTGAACCCGGTAGGTTGACCTCGTGGCTGTAGTCTATTCTCTTTTTCCGTCAATCCGGGCCCCCCGGTTTTGCACATGAGAGGTGTCACCAGCCCGGGAAGTTGGTCTTGCGGATGCTCCGGTTGACTTGGACACCGGGCTCATCAGTCGCCCAACCGCCAGGCCATCCCAGAAGAGGGCGTAGATGGAGCTCGGAGCGGTTGGCGCAAGGTTGGCGCTCTGGTTGACGCTTTGACTTCAAAGAAAAGAGTTGCAACCTCAACTGAGCAAAAATCAGGGCCTAGCAGCCCGAACACATCTTGAGCCCATCTTGACATTGGCTGATCCACTAAAAAGGGGTGAGCTCACTACTGCAGCAACCAAACTTGTTGTTGCTTCATGTTGCTTCCGCTCTTCAGCCGCTCCATTCCTCTCTCCATCTTGGAATGTTCTCTTCGGGTCCACTTTTGGACGAAGCGCTCCACTCCAAAAACCATCGGGACCGCCTTTTCTATCATGGGTCTTGATGCAAATCTTCACCTATCTGAAGACCCACCAGATACGTAAGGCACACATAAGGCACACGTAAGACCCACAAATCTTCCCAACCTTCCGTGTTTTTGAGGCAGCCACGTAAGGCACAAGACCCGAGTGGGTAGGAGCCACGCTGCAAACAGCAGAACCAGAGCCTCAGGGACACGTTTGACCGGCGAAAACCGGCCGAAACTTGACGGCCGTTAGTTTGGGGGATGGTGAAGAGGCTACGCAGTAGCATAGGCTGGGTTGTCCCATAAATCTGTTCCGTGTTTTTTCCATGCGCCAGAGACCAATCTGTGCACAAGCTAGGATGGGCTAGCGCCTAGCTTGCATGAGACCCAAACTGCTTGCTTGGGGCATCTCAGACTCTGCTCGGCTCTCATCCCGATTCGCCTCACGCAGAAGTCATTCGATGCGGAAGCTGGGGCGTCTGACCAGGATCAGGGCGAAATTCTGTGTGTCCAAGGTCCTGAGTCTGGTCGTCTGAAATCTGCTCTATAGCAGGCACTTTGGGGATGTTACTTTGTCCTCGAAAGGGCTTCTTTTTCGAGTGTCGACAAGTGAACAATCACTGGTTGAATTCTGGGGAATCTTCCACTAGTACAGGTGAGAATGTACAATTGGGGGGGCACCTGGGCGTTCATTACGTGCGCCCCATCATTTGGCCTTTTCATCCCAACTTTTGCGGGCTGTGCTCCGAGTCGTGTCCTCCGTGTCCTCCGAGTTCACGGCGCGCCCACCGACCCGAGAAACCCCATGGTGTCGACCGAGCGACGGCCGTCCGTCGGGTCAACTGGTCCGTCGAAGTGAACGGCCCGTCGTTTCCGTTTTCCGTTGGGAGGCAAAGCATGGGAAGATGTGCGGCGCTTCCATCCAAGAAATGGACGCAAGAAAGGTGCGGCCCGAAAAAACCAACAAGCACCTCCCACCCTCTTCTTTGGGCAGAACGATGACCCTCCGGCATGTACCTTATTCAAGGTGATGCGACTTATGGAAGCTCTGCACGCTCAGAGCTAGGCTGCTAGACTGTTATCTTGGCCTAGGCCTATGCGTCATCCTTTCACCTTTTGGCTTGGTGCTGGGATCACCCGTGAACATTTGCTTGTGGTTCATGGTTCACTTGATCTTCTTATCTGGGGTGCCACAAATCTGACGAATTCTACGTCGGTACTACACCAATACATGGTGTTCGGTTAAAAGAAAAAGAAGAAAGTGAGGTGAACCTCCAAACACAGGCGCGTGACCGGCGTGGTCCACACCGGATCGGAGACTGACGGTCACACCTGCAAGGGATCTATGGTCGCTCGGTGCACCGAGTCCAGTGGGTGAGAGTGGACTCCACCAGTCGAGTCTGTCGGTCAATTCGTGAAAAAGCGTCGCCCCAAGCACCAAGTTCTTCCTCCGCTCGTACCAGTCCATCCAGTACCTGGCGAAAACATGCTTTTCGGAAAAGCAAAAAATAAGAACAAGGACCGTGTCAGGATGAAAAGTCGTTTCTGACACTGGCCCGCCGACCATTGATGACCAGAACGAGTGCTCAGCCTACCAAAAAAAAAATGGAAACTACAGTGTTCTTCTTAGGGGAGCTACTCCTCACGGCCAATCCGGGACGGCACTCCATCTGGCCCTGCAAGAAGCTCAAGCGCAAGAGGTACCTGGCGCAGCCCACCGGGGTCGTGCAGACCCACCCAAAAGGCACCGCCCATCCAAGCGGGGTCGCCGAAGCCTCTGCATCTGTCTGCGAGAAAAAAACCTCTGCATCTGTCTGCATCTGTCTGCATCGGTCGTGTAGATCCATCTCTACCAGGTCCATCATGCTATTGCAAATGTCTGAAACCAAAAAGAGACTCTCTATCATCTCCAGCTGAAGCTGCGCACTGGTGGTACATGTCATGGAAGGGCGTGCGAGCAAGGCCAAACTCAAAGGCCTTCCCCTGCAGTCACAGACGGAAACCGTCGGTTCCAAGTGACGGAGGTGCCAGGTGGAGATTCAAAGGTTGAATGCCGTCCAGCACATTTGGGGGGATCCACAAAATCGATGCGATGGTTTCCCACAAATCTCATCTAATCCAAGAATGGGACGTGCACCACCTACTTCACCAAAATCATGGTGCAAATTGCTGGTTCTGATACCATTCCGCGGAAAGGGGTATCAATGGTGGACACTGCTGATCTCGGCATTGGTAATTCATTCTGTCCAAATCACTTGGTCCACAAACCCGGACGACCCTCGCATGACTTCCAATGCTTCACTCCCCCAAGGAGTCGCACCTCCTTGGTGTCTGCGGAACTCGACTCCTTTCCTCAGCCAACTGCCCACAGTGCTGAACACTTAGCTCAACTGAGCACAGAAAAGCAGCATCTGCAGAAATCATCGAACCTCCGAGACCGAGTGGGTAACGTGTGTGCGCGTTTATATACATATATACCTTTAAAAAAATAGGAAATAAGTAAACAATTAAAATCGATATATATATATATATATATAAAGATGCAGCACTCATTTCTTTTGTTCCACTTCGCAGCGTTTGTGTCAGAAATTGATAAACTCAACCAGTCATGACACCACAACAGTCAGATCACGGTAATCCTATTCGTGAAAAGTCGGTCCTAGCCACCCGGCCACACCCTGGGTGGTAGGATCCGCTCTGCTTGACCTACTTAAGCCGAGCCACACCTCCGAGACTGAGTAGGCATCAAGCACTGACCGTGGGTGTCGAAAAAAGGACGAAACGAAAAGCGCTTTTTCCCTTGCCTTTACTGGATCTCTTGGGGTGCCTTCCAAGCCCCCCTGCCCTTCCGCCTTTGGCAGGAGGCTCAAGTGATGTGATTCGAGGCTGACGGAAAAAACTATTACACACAGTTAAAAAGGGACGGATTCGTGCATCAGAAGCTGGAAGCTTGAGTTGACTGAGGACAGCTAAACCTTCATTGAGGTAAATACGGGCACTCTTCTGCGTGCGCCACCTACCTTGAACAAGTATCCGGTCTAAGTTTTGGTGCTTTTGGAACCAAAACGTAGCCCCCCCTCGTCGGAGGGAGTAGGGTCGAAACCCCTGGTCCTGTATATGGAGGCCTTCAAGGCATGAATTGAACAACGCTCGCCACTTGGGTGGAGAAGGCGTAAGCCGGGTATCGGGGGAACCGGCTTGTTTCCACGCCTTTAAAACTTTAACTACAGGCTCGTAGCCGAGGACTACACTCTCTGCAGCCCCATGGCGTTTGCCACCCTTGGTAAAACCCAAATTCACCAAAGCCTTTCCAGTTCCGGTGCCCACTTCAACATGGCTCGACACAATGCCCAGGATTTCCCCTGTCCGCAACATGGTGTAGAAACCCAATAGCAAAGAGACTGCAAAGGAGATCCAACCATTAAAAATTGCCCACCCTGCCATGGCATGGACCAGATGCTCCGGTAGGGGCGGAGCCCGGTTGGGGATCTCATTGGTTTGCCACGTCTTCAGGAGCCTCCAGGCTGCCGGCAT